CCAAGAGTGGTTTTAAATTTGTTGTGTCCATCGGAGGAAGTGAATTCAGAGCCCTCTTATGCCACCATCTGCCCAGCTCTCTTTCCCTTTAAATTAACATACTACTCATAATAATGTGGACTTCAAATATTATTATGGGAATTATTTTCAACTATTATAATTTCTGCTAATATTTTATTGTTTAACACATTATTGCAGAGCCTCGGTTTTGGGTCTTTAGCTGGTGTTACTGTAGAACCTCTGGGGAAAGCTACTCTTAGAGGTGTCTTCCTCTAAAACTCCTGAACTGTGTCCATGCTGGTCCTTTCTTAGTAGCTGTTGAGCCTATTGGTCATTCTTTTATCTGTATCAGACTTATTCTTACACAATGTTGTCAAGTGGGTTCCTGTTTGATAGTGACATACTTTTTACTGGGCTTTTGTAATAAAAATTACCTATCTTGGATTTGAGTTCCTCCCAGCTCTATTTTAATTGGTAGTAATGGTTATATCCCCAAACTGTACTCTTTTATACAGAGTCCTTCTACCACTGCATAGCACTGTGCATGACGTATATTAGGTGCTCAAAAAATACTGGATTGGTGGATGAATGAATTTGGAAGCTTCACTTTTTGATGGTTAAGAATGGGAGGAGCAGAAATCTTCTTATGTTATAAGCCCAATAAGATTGTTTCTGGTCATAAGAGTTTTATAAGAAATAAACTAGTAGGAGAATATACAATATGACAAAAAGACTAAGACTGATGTTGGTGAACTTTGTTATTACTTGTACTCTTTTTTTTTTTTTTTTTTTTGAGGAAGATTAGCCCTGAGCTAACATTTGCCGCCAGTCTTCCTATTTTGCTGAGGAAGCCTGGCCCTGAGCTAACATGTGCCCACCTTCCTCTACTTTGTATGTGGGACGCCTGCCACAGCATGGCTTGACAAGTGGTGTGTAGGTGTGCACCCAGGATCCAAACTGGTGAACCCGGGCCGCCGAAGTGGAATGTGCGAACTTAACCACTTGTCAGGTGATGCAAGTGTGCCACTGGGCCAGCTCCTATTGCTTGTACTCTTAATTGACATTTCAGAGGTGGATTCTATCTGGGATTTTTTAACTGTATTAATTTAGAAAGTGCTTAATAAAATACTCGGGCATGTTTCATTTTATACATGGTTCTGTCCAGTCATGGTATAATTATTTTAGGTAACAGTGATTTGTCTATCTCCCTCCTTGTGTTCTCTCTTCTCTCCCACCCTCCTCTTTTTTATTTTTTTGTCCTATGGATTTTGATATGGCAAAATAGAAGGTAACGTTTCCTTTTTATTTTTTAGAATTTGAATAATGACAGAAATATATTATAAAAATAGTCTTTTTTTCTGACAAAAAGTGTGAATGGCCTGCTACTCTAAAAGCAGGGTTAAGTAGACTCTTCATTTCTTTTTTCTCTGACACTTAGTTCTTGGCCATATATTTGTGACACTTACTCAGTTCTTGGCCATATATTTGTCTGCCTAATGGTTGTAATAGGAGAGTCTCGGGAGAAGCATGCCAGGGAAAAAAGCAGCCTTTCTGGGGCAAGAAGGGCTCCCCAGTCAGAGCAGCCCCAGACTGTATTACCCCGTCATTAAAGCAAGAAAATCCCAAGAAAGGCTTTTCCTTTCACCTATTTCTGTTAGTGTTTCTCCTCTTTGGAACTAGAATGAAGGAGTACGGGCTTGTGGAGTGGATCCTAGAGATTCCTAGATGTCTCTATGCTCTGGAAATTAATGTTAGAAAATATATTAGAGTTAGGAAGCTGCTGGGAAAAATCACAGAGATCATTAGCTTATGAATGTCATTACTTTAGGTTATTATTACCTAATGACTACTTACTGAACTTTGGGTCATTAGGCAAGATAACCTCTCTGAGCCCCGTGACCTTATCTGTAAAATGGAGTTAATGATAGTACTGGTCTCAGATGGTTGCCCTGAAAATTAAATGAGACAGAGTGCGTTGCTGAGCATTCTTAGTTATAAGCCCCAGAATCTGGGTCTGACTGACTGAAGCAGAAAGGGGTTTGGAGCAGATAGAGGAAACCTCAGGCTCACTAGAAGGGCTGGAGAACTGGACTCACAGTTCGAGCAGTTCTGAATTACAGTCAAAATCATGACACAGAGCTAGTTGAGGGGCACTGCTGCATTACTGCTGAGCGTTGGATGCCACACTTGCGTCACCTGCACTGGGGCTGTCAGTGGCACTGTTGTCACTGCTGCCTTTGAAGCTGGCTGTTGCTGCTACTGCTTCTCAAAATAATCCTGCATTGTCCCTGATCCTTTCTATCACTAGCTCGTGGTCCAGAATTTCAGGGTCACATAGCCATGCTTTGCAGCAGAGAGCCTGGGAAAGCAAGTTTACGATATTATTAGCTTTTCTGAGGGGACTTGGGCTCTGTCCACCAGGAAGATTTAGAAAACTGGGAATTTCCAAAGCAAAAGAGATGAGTTCAGAGCTGGGCAGTCTCAAAACTGATAAAATTGCTGCTCTTCTAAAGTGCTTAGTTCTATGCCTAACATGTTTGAGTGCCCCCAAAATGTTGGCATTTATTAATTTATATTTGCCTGTCTTTATTGAGGGAAAAAAGCTTAGGGAGATTTCTCTTCCAAGATTTGATTTTTGAAGCAAATAGATTAGAGCTGCTGGAGCAATAAAAATGAATGGGTGCATGCAATTTCCAAGCCTAGACTTTACGTGAGGTCCCATTCTGTTCACTCAACGGTACCTCCCGACGGCTTTGAGGTAACTCGGGTAATTCTGGACTTGTTAGCCAAATAAGCGTCCAGTAGCCCAGACTGCCACTGAGACGCCTTTGTCATTTGTTAGTTGCCTCCCTTTTCACCTGGTTTCCCATTTACAAGTGGTCAGTAATAACATAGTTTAGAAAGTTCTGGCCTTAGTGTCAGAAGACCTGGATTTGTATCTCAGCTCTACCAGTGACTACCAGTACAATCTGGAGCAGGTTTCTTAATCCCTCAGACTGTTTCCTCTGTGTGTGTATATGTTTGTGTGTGTGAAATAAAGAATATTCCAAGAATATCACTGAGGATTTAAATGAGAACGTGAAAATATCTAGCAAATTGCGAGTACTGCTCAGTAAATATTGCTATGAAAAACCAAACAAGAACCCTGGGAATTATAGAAGATCCAGTTTTACATTTTTCTTTAAAAGTTGAAGAAATCTGTAATGAATAGGTAAATATTTAAGCTAGTGTAATTGAGGGCAGTGGTTTCAGGGTATCCACAAAGTCACAATATTTTAATAATAAGACATTATTTACCTTTTTTCACTTTTATTCTCTCATTAATGCAGTTTCTAGAGGCTACGTGATATGTTGTGTGATGTCACAATAGATTGAATGCAGAAGCAAATATGAAAATCTAGCTGTCTTCTGTTTAGTCCAGTATTAAAGAGATTAGCAAAAAGGCAAAACAGTGCCATTCTTCTCACTAAATTTTCTTCTGTTTTGGAAAATTTATTTTCCATTAGAAAATAGTTGTTTTGGGAAATTTAGATTTTTAAAAGTAAAGTGTTATTTATATTAACATGCAGTGGTGTTTATTATTTAAAAATAATAAATATTTTAAAATTCCAAATTTAATTTATATTTTAGCAACTATTTGTAACCTGCATAAACAAAAGCCCTCTGAGAAACTCAATAATTTTTAAGGGTATAAAGGGATCCTGAGCCCAAAAAAGTTTGAGAACTGCTGTATTAGTGGGAAGTGCCATATTTTCTGTAAGAAGAAACTAGGCTTGACTAATTTATTGGAGATAGTTGAGTAAACCTTTGCTTAAGTATATGGACTTGGAACAACTTTCAAAAATCCTTAGAGTTTAGCCTAACAAAAATAAACACACACACACATACACATTCCAGATTAAGTGGAATAAGTTATTAGGGATAGAGAATTTATATAGAAATGGAAAATTTAAATAAGAGATTCTTTTGGATGAAGAAATATAGTTAATTAGTGTGATTTACACATTGAAAGATGATTTACAAGAATTACGGTAAGGTAGAAAGATCACTGAACTAGGTGTGAGAAGACTTACTTTGTGTTCTGTTCCTTGATCTTTGATTTAGGAAATGTGTTTTTAAGTTAATAAGCTCTTCAGTGTTTTGAACTTGCATTTCTTCAAATGAAGAATGGGAATAAATAATTCTGTCCTATTTTTTCTTTCATTTAACACATATTTATTGCTTACTTACAGCACACTAGGCTCTATTCTAAGTTATTACAGATATAATGTTAAAATATGAATGGTCTCTGCCTCAAGAAGGTAACAGTTTAAAGAGAGAGGCAGAGATAAACAAGTAAATAAATAAATAAATATAAATTGTGATAAGTACTATGAAGGAGTTAAATAGTATGACATGGAAGAGGAAGGTACTACAGACCTACTTACATGGGACTAACAGGGAAGGCTTCTCTGAGGCGGTGATGTTTAAGCCGATACCACATGTCTGAGAAGGAGCAGGGGAATAGCTTTCAGCATAGAGAATTGTGTGTGCCAAGGCCTTGAGATGTGCCTAAGGTATGGTAGGCACGAGGGGCAGTAGAACAAAATGAGGCAGGAGAAGGAGTCAAGGTCTAGGTCATGCGGGGCTCTTAGGCCATGGAAAGAAGCCTAAACTCCTAAAGAAATTCAGCCGTGTGAGGGCTCACCTGTGTTCAAGGCTGAGGGATCTGTAAGAGGGATTATTCGGCCAGACTAGGACGTTGGCGAATATGGTTTACATATGTTGAGGTGTCGTGATGAAGAATGAGCACTATTTCTCACAACTGTCCCTGGTTGATGTTCTCAGGGACAGACTAAGGATTTAGAGAGTGATTTTAATTCAGTATTAAAATGTTTAGGTTCTTAACTACTGATGACTTGTTCAAAAGAATTAAATTTCTTTTTTGATTAGGTTCTTTAACTTAACAAGTATATATATGTTTCAGATTTTTCTACTAATTGAATGTCTGTTTATTTCAGTGCTCTTCTTTTTAATGAAGTAAAATATATTACCACCCTGGAAGACCTTCAGAACATGGAAAATGCTCTGAAAGGAAAAGCAGACATTGCATTCTCATACGTCAGAGCCGTTGGAACGCCAGGTATTATTGACTTTTACTTTAGTCTTTGCTGTGCCTCTGTACCTGTGTGACTATGTTGAAGGACTTAAGTGTATTTTGACCACACTCTTAATACTTTAAAATAAATTTAAAGCTTCTTTATGTTTTCTTTCTTTAAACGGGCAACATAGTATGGGAGTTGAATGAGAACTCTGGAGCCCGACTGCTGAAGTTAGACTCCTTGCCCTGCCAATTATTTACAGTGTGGTCTTGGACAACTTACTTAACCTTAGTTTTCTAGTCACTAAGATGGTGAAAATAATTGTACCTGTCTCTTGGTATTAATATGATGACCAAAAGAGTTTGAAAAATGAAAATGGTTCCTGTTGTATAGTAGGTGCTCTGAAAATGTTAGATATTTTTATTACCTTACAGTACTCCTAATATCAGGCACAGTAGTTTATAGTATTTGGTAAATGTTGTTGACTGACTGGCTTTCTTTTTTATATTGGTATTTGCTGTTTATGACATACTTTTCTTGATTTTTAAAAAAAAGTCTAATTTTGATGACATCACCTTGAGCATTAATATGTAATTTTGTCGTAAAGAAGTTTCTAAACATTTTATGAACAAATTATAGTTATGCTTTCAGGACTTTTATTTGTTAATGGTAATAACTTGACCATGTTAATATAAAGTGTTGTTAAAGACATTTTAAAAATTGTATATGCTCTGTGAAATAAAATCATTTATTGGAAATCTCAATTTTTATAAACATAAAACTTGAGGGTTACACAGCGTGCCACTGAATTTAATAACACTTGTAAAATAATTCTCCACAATCAGCCTGTTTCTGTTTACTTTTCAGGGCCCTCAAGTGATTGTATTTTGTCCAGAGACTGTAGTTGTAATCAGTGAGAGGGATGAGGTATAGAGGGCTCACTCTGCCAGAGCAGAGCCGGACTCCCTGCTTTATATTTTAACAGGATCAATCTGACTTCTGTGTTTGGAATAGATTGGAAGGAGCAATGGTAGACTAAGGCAGAAAATTAGGAAGTTACTGCAATAATGCAGGCAATAGATGATGGTGGGTGGCTTAGACCAGGGTGTTCACAATGGAGGAGGTGATAAATTTGAATGTTAGCAGTATTTTGGACATAGGACCAACTGAATTTGCTGACATTTTGGATGTGGAATGAGAGAGAAATTGCAGAGGGAAAGACTGGAAATAGTTTGGAGAGGAAGTTCTGGAATTCACTTTTGGATGTTTTACTTACAAAATACCCATTAGACATCCAAGTAGAGATATCAACAAGGTAGTTGCATGTTACTAGTCTGCATTTGATTTAGGGACACAGACTAGAGGTATAAATTTGGGAGATAAAGCTGTGAGACCAGAGGAGATCACATAGGGAGTGAGGCTAGGTGGAAAAAAGACGACTGAACTTGTTAGATATTTCAACACTTAATAGGTCAGTGAGGTGAGGAGGAACCAGGAAAGAAGGCAGAAGGAAGGTCTATGTGGTAGGAGTGCCTGTAAGCAAAGTGAAGAAAGGATTTTAAGGAAGAGATAGCAACAATTGTGTCAGATGATGCTGAAAGGCTAATTAAGATAAGAACTGCCAATTGGCCATTATACTTAGCAATATGGAGGTTATTGGGGACCTTGGCAAGCTGCAAGTTTTGTAGGATGAGAAGGTAAATGAATGCCTGATAGGGTATAAGAGAAGAGGTAGAGAGCAACTGGAGACTGAAAACAGACTCGTTTGAGAAGTTTTGCTGTTAAGGGAGGGAGAAAAATGGGGCAGTGGCTGGAAGAGTATGTGGGATCAAGTGAAAAATTTTCTAAGAAGCATATTTGTATATTGATGAAAAAGATCTAATAGAAAGGGGAAAATGCATCATGTAGGAGAAAGGGGAGAGTTACTGGAGCAACATCTTTTAGACAAGAGGAGATGGAACCTAGTGAGCAAGGGGAAGGGTGGTTCTCTGCTGGGAGCACAGAAAATTCATCCGTGATGATACGAGGGAAGGTAGAGAATATGGGCATCAATTTAAGAATGTGGGCAGATAGATATGGTGTTGGGAGCTTGTGGAAGTTTTTTTTGATTTTTTAAAATTGGATCTGTTTTCTCAATGAAATAGAAGTAAAGTCATCAGATAGTTGAGGAGAGAAGAGACAAAATAGTTGTTTAGGAGGCCTGGAAATAAAGAATGCTTGCTAGGCAGCAATAATAGTTGATGTCAGTAATCTAAAGTGAGACCATTAGCAGGATGATGTCAGCAGGTTTTTGTTCACTTTTACCTTCAGCCATGTTTGCTTTTGTGAGTGTAAGTACAGAATAGGCAGAGTATTTGATTTAACTTGGATTATGTTTTAGGCAGATGGGAGTGATTAGAAAGATTGACCATGGAATTTAAACTGGGTTAAAAAGGAAGAGAGGACTGGAGAGAGGTGAAGGACAGTGACAAGTGGTAAGATTGTAGGTCCTAGGGGGTTAGAGTTACATACTAGACAGAGTGACCTGGAGATGAATGGGTGTGTGTCTGGGGAAGATGCCAGACATTGAGATTTTGGAGGGGTTTGCAGTAATTGGTAATTACAAGGCCTGGAGTGGGACCATAGCAGTGGGTTGAAGTTAGGGTTAAGATAGGGTTGAAGAGACATCATTGGAATCTCTAGAGAAGGCCAAGGACTTAGAGGGTAGAATTTTCAAAGGATCATCAATGGGGATAATAAAATCACCAAGGATTAGGATAGGAGTAGTATTGCACAGAGTGACAGTGTGACAGAAGCTAAATTTTTCATTGTGAATGATGGGGAGTGACCCTTGCCAGGGTTTAGATGACTCCAACAAGATAGAGTGGTGAGTGGAATAATCTGATGACATGTGATTCAAGTGCTAGGAAATTAGATGGGGACAGGGAAGATAACTGCCTAGAAATGGCAGTGAGAAGAAAAGGGAAAATAAAATAGGAAAAAGGAAGGAATCTTTAAGAATATTTTAAGAACATTTCCCAGAACTGAAGGATTTGTGCTTCCAAATTGAAAGGGCCCATTGAGTCCTAGCATAGTGCATGAGTGTAGAGCCACACCAAAGCATTTCATTTTGAAATTTCAGAAAAATTGGAAACAAACGCTATTCTAAAATCTTCCAGAAAGAAAAAAAGAGTTTGTAGTTAATGGATCAAGAATCAGCATGGCATTGGACTTTTCAATTACAGACCTGAAAACTGAAGAAATGGAGCATGCTTTCAAAATTCTCAGGGGAAATGACTTGAACCTAGAACTCTATATGAAGACAACTATAGTTAGTTACGAAAGTATAGTAAAGACACTTTCAGAAGTACAAGGTCACAAAAAATGAGTATTCCATATATCCTCTCACAGGAAGGTGCTAGAGAATGGGAGCAATGGAGCAAATCAGTTGAGAAGATGTGGGTAACAGGGCAAAGGACCTAACACAAGAGAGAGAATAAGAGAATCCCAGGATGATGATAAAGTGAGTTCCTGTAATGAAAGTGGTCCAGCAGGTCAAGTAGTAATAGTCCATATTGGAGCAAATCAGAAGGCTCTGCAGAAGTGTCTTGAAGAAAAGGGAATTGATAGGATACATGATACGTTGAAAGTACTGAGAGGGTTAGACAATTGTGGAAGAATTTAGGAATAAATTAGGAAGAAATCTAAACAAAAATAAAAAAAGATAGTTATTAGTAGTGAAAAAAGTTGTTCAAAAAAAGGAAAAGCATTCATTTTGTACTGTATGGCTCCTTTGTAGATAGTATTTACTGAATCATAACAATGTAAATACTGACTCTTGAGCTAATAAAAATTCGAATTATATCGGGAGAGTTGAGGGGATAGAAGTGTGTGCGTTTTTCGAGTGTGTTTCGGAAAAGAGAGATAATTTATCATCTTCCATGGGGACATCAATAGATAATAGTAACACTTAAGAAAAAGTACCAGGAAATAAGAGTATAAGAATATCATTTAGGGACTTGGAGGTAAATACCAAAATAAACAAGAAAAGAGTTGAAAGTAGTTGTCCCTTGGGAATTGGAAATGGGGTCAAGGGTAGAGAAAATTGTTTTGCTTAATTTGCCTTATAGAATGGTCTCTTTAAACTATATATATAAGTTTGATTAAAAAATACCTTAGAAACAATGCACAAACATATACATATATAAAATATAACATATGGAAGTTGTGTGGTAGATTCGTATTCTGTTCCCTACTACTGGGAAGAAATTATCACAGATTTGTCGTATGTTATATTCTCAAGTATAACTCATTTTCTACTCTCTCTTAATTCTTCTCTTACCTTGAATAGAATAAACTTTTCATAACTTCTTTAATTGCCTGCATTTTCCCAACTGATATCCCTACAAAGGATTTTTCTTTAAATATAATAGAATGTAAAAGGATGTAGGGCAGTATTCAGAATAGAAGCTTACGCAGAGTTACACCGAGTAACTCCTCTTCTCTCCCAACTCCCTTATCTCTTCTTCAGAGCACAGAGCGGTCATGGAAGCTGCTTTTGTGTACGGGACCACATACCAATTTGTCTTAACCACAGAAATTGCCCTTTTGGAAAGTATTGGGTATGTATGAGGGGCATATGTCAACAATTTTAAGTTCACTTATTTCACATTACTTATTCAACATTTCCATCGTACTCTTACAGTGTGGGCTTATCTGAGGGGATTCGTAAGCAGATGTGAATATGTAAATGAAACCTGAAATCCCTTTCATTACTATCTTCTGTAGTACAGTCTGAAAATCTATTTAAATATAGAGAAGTGGTGTTAGACTAAGGTGAATGACGAGAATATGGGTAAGCCACAGGATGTGATCCTGTGAGTAGCCAAGTAGATTAGGTCTCCCACAGTGATCAGATAGATGACAAAATAACAGCTTTTATAACTAAGCTCCAGAAATTCTTTCTGAGAGTTCTGTAAATTACTTTGTCAGAATAATCTTGAATATATGTAAGTACAGTTTTTGAACAGAATGTTTTAAATGATTATTTTCCTTGTCTAGTTTGTAGTTTACGGTTTTAGGTAGAGGGCTTCTTTTAACTGTTTTTGGCTGGGCAGTCTAGGGTTCAAGTTTTTCTTTCTTTTAATACTTAAAGACAGAAGGAATAACCAGTGCATTTTAAAGTCTTTAGTTTCAAAATGCTCTTTAGGAAAATTAATCCAAAGCAAAGCAAAATGGTGAGTGTCTGACCTTTTTATACCATGCAAGAGCTTTTAGTGAGTCTTCCTGCTGACCTCTCTGAAAATAGTGACTATTTGATATACCACACACAATTAATTAAGTCACAGACATTTTAGAACTCTAAATTTAGAGGTTAGTGCATAGACAACTAATAAAATGGAATTATTTTCTGGGGGCAGTGAGTAGGCAGAGAATAAATTTCCTACAAAGAGAAGTTATATTTTCATTGCTCTGTGTGACATTAACCCACATTCCTTTTTCCGTTAGTCTCTTATTGAACTGTCATCCTGCTGGTTCGCTCATTAATGAGTTAAATAAAACTTTGATGCATGTTTACTGTTTGTCTAAGAATTCATGTTTTTAACAATTTGAGAATTTTGCTGATAGTACCATAAAGCTTTACCGTAAGTGGTCGCCAAGTCTCAAGATAGAATGAGCACTACTTTAGCCAATTGCTTTGCTACTCTCAATGTAGACTGCCAGTTTCCCAGCCTGGGATCAGGGAACCTGTTATTCTCCATCCTGTGGTGATTCTATGCAAGCCCCACAAGGGATAATTGTTTGTACTTGCTCTTGTGTTACTAGCTTCTTTATTTTTTAGGTAATGAAGAATTACAAATATGCTGACACACTTAAAACACAGAGGGGTGGTTATTTATTGGCAAGGTATAGGTCTGTCATTTACCTTACAAATTCCCCTCAGCAAGATATTCTGTATCTGTTCTGATCTTTGACCAAACATGGTCATGTTCTGGAGGGGTTTTTGCTTTCCTCCATTTTTAAAGGAGAATTAAAAAATGTACAGTTATTCTGTTTTTCATATACTTTTGAGTATCTGATATATTGGAGATTTTTAAATTCTCATTTATTCATGGATAACAAGATGGTGAGGAATCATACCTGGACCTGATATGACAGGGAAGGACTGTGGATTCAGAATACAATAGTCCTATGACATCACTTCTAGATGAAGTAGTTGGCTATAACTGGGTTGGAGGAGAGGTGAATGCATTTTTTTTCTTTCATTTGTTCATTCTTTCATTCAACAGATATTTATTGGATGCCTTCTTTTTGCTAGGCAGTATTCCAATATCTGGGGCTATAACACTGGATAAGTCTAGGATATTAATTGTTATATCATATTGGGCTTGAGTATCTTTGAAATTAATGTGGGTTAAGAAGGGTGTATATGATAGGTAGTACAAGAGGCAGCATGCAGTAGAGACAACCATACTTCTGCTACCGTCCCCTATTCCCTTCTTAAAGAATCTGTGTATAAGGCCAAGAAGGGTGTTACCCCCACCCCATACATGTCACAGTCAGTTAAATCAGAGGTGGCCACCTGACCTAGGGTCAACCAGTTCATTGGCTTACCTGAGCAAAGGAGATCTCCTCTCCCAGGAACTTGGAATTGGATGTGGAGAAACTGGATTATACAGTTTTTTGGCTCTCTTGCCCCCAGGAGTGTTTTGCCCATGTAGAAGTAAAGCAGAGAAAGTTTTCTTTTTTGAAAATTATTTTATTGAGACCACGTTGGTTTATAACATTGTGTAAATTTCAGATGTACATCGTTATGTTTCTGCTTCTGTGTAGACTGCATCGTGTTCACCTCCAAAAGCCTAGTTTCCGTCCGTCACTGTACGCATGTGTCCCTTTACTCCTTTTGCCCTCCCCAACCCACTTCCCCTCTGGTAACCGCCAATCCATTCTCTGTATCTATGTGTGTGTTTATCTTCTATAGATGAGAGAAATCATAAGGTATTTGTATTTCTTGGACTTATTTCACTTGTGTTTCTTTAACCATTGAATCTATTTGAAATTACTTTGTAATTAAATTTGAAATCAGTGAACCTTGGAGCTCAGTTTAAGCATCTATCAAGAATTAAAATAATGTTTTTTTTAAAGATTTTATTTTTCCTTTTTCTCCTCAAAGCCCCCTGGTACATAGTTGTATATTTTTTTAGTTGTGGGTCCTTTTAGTTGTGGCATATGGGACACCTCCTCAGCATGGCCTGATGAGTGGTGCCATGTCCGCGCCCAGGATCCGAACTGGCAAAACCCTGGGCCGCTGAAGTGGAGCGTGCAAACTTAACCACTTGGCCACGGGGCTAGCCCCTAAAATAATGTTTTAAAAATAAAAACTTGGGGCCAGCCTGGTGGTATAATGGTTAAGTTTGCACTCTCTGCTTCGTCGGCCCAGGATTTGTGGGTGCATATCCCAAGCGTGGACCTACACACCGGTGGCTCATCGAGCCATGCTGTAGTGTCCCACATACAGAAATAGAGGGAGATTGGCACAGATGTTAGCTCAGTGACAATCTTCCTCCAGCAAAAAGAGGAAGATTAGCAATAGATATTAGCTCAGGGCCAATCTTCCTCACACACAAAAAAACCAACAAAAATTAAATAGAAAACCAAAAATTTGCAATATTTTGCCAAACCCTACTAGTGCCATATGGAAATTTTTTAAATGCTATTTTAAATTTGGCAAACTTTGCTTATCCACTATAAGTTTATCTTTGAATTCTCATATTGAATGGAATGCCAAAACTCAAATTATAAGCCATATTTGATGAGTTTTGTAATATTTCAGATACAGACTCAAACTCCCACAAAGTGTCACATGGCTTTTATCTTAAAGCATGTTTTGACTGAAGTTATTCAAAACAGATTTGGGTTTAGATTAAACCCAGAAAATTTATGTTACACAGCTTTATTTGGCATAGGTCTAGAAAAGCAATTATGTTTGAAGATAATCTCATTGTCCTCAAGGTGACAGTCTTTTATATTAAAAAAAATTTGTGTAGACCCACTTAAAACCTAAGTTAGAAGCTACTATATTAAAAAGTTCAGGAAAAAAATTGTTTATATAACTCAAATTGTTTATATCCTCTTGTTTTCTTAGGTCCATTTTATTTTGATTGTGCTGGTAAGCTCTGAATCTATTTAAACAATGCTTGCTTAACAATGGCAATACATTCTGAGATATGGTGTCATTAGGCAATTTTGTCACTGTGCAAACATGATAGAGTGCACTTACACAAACCTGATGGTATGGCCTACTACACACCTGGGCTCTATGGTACTAATCTTGTGGGACCACCATTGTATATGTGGTCCATCATTGATCAAAACATCATTATGTGGCACATGACTGTACTGTCTTAGGCTTTTGCTAAAACAGTAATTCAAAAGCATGAAAGTTAAGACAAAGAGATTTGTTGTTAAGTCTTTCTGGATGGTAGAAGGACCACACGTTGAACTTCAGTGGGTCTGTCTCTAATTTTTAATTTGCAGTGCCAAGGATATAGAATATGCACATCTCTACTTTTTTCATTGTAAAGTGGTCTTGGACTTGACCCAGCTGTGTAGAAGGACACTAATGGAACAGCCATTGACTACACTGAACATTCATCAATTTATTAAGACAATGGAAGCACCTCTGCTGGTATGTATCTTACTTTAATATATTAGATAATTCATACATAAAATTTGTAGTTTTGATTCACAGATACGCAGTTTTTCTTAGATGAGCTATATCTTTTCCCCTTTCCTTGGACATACGTCTTTCATTTAGGGGGATTTAGGAGTAGTTCCTTATTAAAAGTAAAATAGAAGATAGACTATTCATAAAATGATATTTTGCTGCTTTGAAATATTGTTGTATTGAAACCCAAATATAGCCTTGTGTAAGTGGAAATATTCTGTGGTAGCTGTAATGAAGTGTGACCGCTCTAAGATCACAAAGACCACATCATGGTTAAGAAAAGACCTCTCTTGTGAATGTTTTGATCACTATTTTAAGAGTTGGTAAATATTGGAATTATAGTATTTTTGGTTCCCCATTTTTCTTGGTGTTATCCTGGAAGAACTTTGTAGACTCAGTCGGTTATGGTGCTCAGCAGACTTTTCTTTCTGAAAGTCTGAAGGGTTATCCTGAGCACATGCAAAACCTTCAGTGGACCTTCTCACTCAGTGTATTCTCTTTCAATAAAAATGGTGCATGTTTTATAAACCAAACAGTGCAGCAAAGTACAGAGGAAAATTTAAAAGCCACGTAGTAATCACATCACTCAGAAATTAACTGTTGGATGCACACTAGTCATCTTTGTGCCTGTATGGATCCATAGAGATAGAGGGATGAGTGGATTAGTGGACGCATCATATTGCATGTGCTACTTTTTAGGAAGAAGTATTATATTTAATCTTATTTGAATTTAATAGAAGAAAAAGAAACGTGAAACTAGAGGGTTTATGAAACTTTTGTAAATCATTTCGTCAGCTTTAGAGGGCTCATTAGGAAATATTCGCAAGTGTTGAAAATGATTATGAAAAATATTAAGAAATTAAAATACTTTTAAAAAACTATACATTTCCATTTTAGATAGTATTGATTTGCTCCTTGCTGTGAAAGATGAGAAAATTAACTTCATACATTTATTTTCAACTCAGCTCCTCTTGCCCTCCTGAGTTTTGTTAATTTTGTGTTATTTTTACATTATTAAAGTTTATAATATTTATATTGTGTTCTGTAACCATAATTCCAACTTTAAGAAAAAGCCTTGCTTCCACGTTTAAATAGATTCAGAGCTTACCAGCCCCAACTTTACTGGCTTCATTCTTGATTTCTTTGAGTCAGTTTTTGTTTGGTTGGATTTTGGCTTCAAATTTTTTTTTTCTTTAAAGCAGTATATAGGTCTTTTTCCTTTCCTTTCACGTGGAGGGGGCCATGTATCTTACTTCCAGGGGGAGAATATACTCTGCATTTGTTTTTGTTTTCTGTTTTTTGATGAGGAGGATTTGCCCTGAGCTAACATCTGCTGCCAGTCTTCCTCTTTTTTTCTGTTGTTTTGCTTGGGGAAGATTGGCCCTGGGCTAACGTCTGTCCCAATCTTCCTCTATTTGGTATGTGGGATGCCTCCACAGCATGGCTGATGAGTGGGGTAGGTCTGTGTCTGGGATCTGAACCTGCAAACCCAGGTCACCAAAGCAGAGTGCACAGAACTTGAACCACTTGGCCGTGGGGCTGACCCTGCACGCTGTGTTTGTTTTGATCGCCTATTTCAGCACCGAGCCTGAGGGAGAGACTGGTTCACTGTATAGTTCTTCACCATTTCTCTCCAGCCTCATCATCTTTTCTTCCAATACTGACGTATGATCAAGAATTCTCAAGATTTTGTCTAATCACTAGTATTGTTTTTGCCATTTGGGCAAGATTATCTCATCTCAAGCTTTACTGCAAAATCTTCTGTTTCTTCTTGGGCTACAAAACTTTGGCTTGAAGTTGTGCCCCCTTCCTAAAGTTTCTGCTCATGAATTTTGTTTTGCTCTGTTTTAAAACTATTTTTTGTTTTTTCAGATAGATAATGAGGAGGGAGACACTCTGATCTTATTTTGTTTTACCTATACTTACCAGGAATTATGTAATGTTAGTTTTGAAATTAAAAAACGAAAACTTTGGTGGCTGGCCCAGTGGTGTAGTGGTTAAGTTTGTGTGCTCTGCTTCAGCAGCCCATGGTTCGCGGGTTCAGACCTACATACTGCTCATCAAGCCCTGCTGTGGTGGTGTCCCATCCAAAATAGAGGAGGATGGGCACAGATGTTAGCTCTGTGATAATCTTCCTCAAGCAGAAAGAGAAAGATTGGCAACAGATGTTAGCTCAGGACCAATCTTCCTCACCAAAAAAAACCCCCTCGAAAACTGAAGATATCATAATGATTTGGGATTCAGTTAAGTGTGGCTTCACTTGACAGCATGATATGGCAAAAAATCGTGGGCACCATTTATATTGTATTCTATGTGAATTGCAGCCCCTGAAACATAGATGTTGTAAACAATGCAAACGTGCTATAAATACATATGAATGGTGCTCCCTGGAATTGTGCAGTGCAGGTGATCCTGGTCTAACCCATTATTCACCCAAAAGGAGTATTAATTTGGCAATCAAAGTCCCTTTTGAAGTGGGATTTGTTTCAACCCTCACAAAATGATGCATAAGCATATTATTGCCTCAGTGTCTTATTTGTTTGAACTCCTTTTTTCCTGGACACCTAGGGGAGTGGGACGTAGGATTCAGGCAGAGGTTCCAGATGCCTGAGTAAACACTGGGATAGGTAGGAATGGCCAGTAGCATGGAGTCAAGAAAGATCTGAAAGGCAAAATTGAAGGTCACTGCTGGGTTGGAGAGCCAATCTGAGAATCTAAACCTTAGTGTCCGCCTAGAAAGGCTTGGCAGTCTAAGAGGCACAGATCAGTGGACTTTTACAGATCAGAAGAGAGCAAAAGAATGCAGAGTACAGAAGAGGAGACAGCCTCAAAAGATTCCTTAAGACTCTTGGTGGGATAGCTAAGGCTTACCCTTTTGGGAGTGGGAAGATGTTAAAGGGTTCTGAGCTAGTTTGGGCACTTTTATGTTTTGGTAATTTAAACATGTGGCTGTATCAACATTTGAGGTTGTTTTTGTTCTTGTAGAAAACACTTGAGGTTAAAAAACAAAGTGAGGCCAAACACTTTTATAGGAAACACATCTTAGACCAAGATTTGGTGTTACTGGATATTGCCTTTTGATGTTATAGTGAGCTAGAGGGGAGTAGAGCGGTCCTGAAAGTTAGTCCCTACATTTAATTACTTCTTAAGTTCTTACCTGCAAAGTGTTGGTCACAGTTTACTTTGAATTGGTGTTTCTTACTTTGTTCTTTTCTCCCAGCTGCACTAATGCTCATGACCCCATCAGGTTACTCGTCACCATTCCTCCTTTATTGTCTTCCACGTCAATTTAGATACAAGCCTTTGAGGTTCAGTCATGCTTGGGGTGTGTATGATTGTAAGATTCAGCCTAGGCTCATGGGTCCATGATCTGAAATAATTTTATATGTTTACATTATCTATAAACATTAATAAAAATGGAAACTGGCATTCAGACTTTTTTGTAAACTTTTTGTGTCTGATCATTGTAATTATATGTCTTATTATTTCACTTGTAAGTATATGAAAATAGATGCAGATTGGGTTTTTGTGTGTGTGTGTGTGTTAAGTAGATAGATACTTGGACATTTAATTATTGTTGATATATAACGCAACTGTGATTTATAATCATGACGGGAGGTATGTAATTTTAGTCTTGACAAACTGAAAATCAATCTTCAGCATAGAATTTTTAAGTGGATTTCAATCTTAAATGGATTAAGTGAGATTCTGGCAGACATGCAGTTACTCTAGATGTATTGTTAAGGTTCCCAGCAATGAAAAGATGGACAAATAGTTCAGTTATTATCCTGTTGGATAATACCAAGGACATTTTGGAACGCTGATGATGTTCTCTATGAAGGACTCAATGTAATCTGATAGATAGAAAAAAAGACTTTTATCTGAATACCAAGAAGAATCTTCAATTGCAAACATCTGATAAAATGTTTAAAAATAGATAAATTTATATATTATATAATTTTTTGGAAAATTTAAATTTATTTTCTACTTTATTGAGGTCGCGTTGGTTTATAACATTGTGTGAATTTCAGATGTACATCATTATATTTCTGCTTCTGTATAGACTGCATCGTGTTTTCCACCAAAAGTCTAATTTCCATCCATGACCACACCCCTTTCGCCCTCCCTCCCACGCCACTTCCCATCTGGTAACCACCAATCTGTTTTCTGTTTCTGTGTGTTTGTTTCTTTGTGTATCTTCTACATATAAGTAAAATCATATGGTATTTGTACTTTTCTGAGTTACTTAGCTTAGCATAATACCATCAAGGTCCATCCATCTTGTTGCAAATGGCATAATTTTGCCTTTTTGTTTATGACCGAGGAGTATTCCTTTGTGTGTATGTGTATATATATATATATATATATATATATATATATATATATATGTCACGTCTTTATCCGTTCATCTGTTGATGGGCACTTAGGTTGCTTCCAAGTCTTGGCCATTTTGAATAATGATACAGTGAACAGAGGGGTGCATATATCTTTTCGAATTAGTGTTTTCATGTTCTTTGGATAAATACCCAGAAATGGAATAGCTGGATCATGTGGTATTTCTGTTTTTAGTTTCTTTTTTTTTTCACTTTTTACTTTTTCTCCCCAAAGCCCCCTGGTACATGGCTGTATATTTTTTTAGTTGTGGGTCCTTCTAGTTGTGGCATGTGGGATGCTGCCTCAGCATGGCTTATGAGCGGTACTATGTCAGTGCCCAGGATCCGAACCGGCAAAACCCTGGGCCTCGGCCACAGGGCTGGCCCCTGTTTTTAGTTTCTTGAGAAATCTCCATACTGCTATCCATAGTGGCTGCACCAGTTTGCCTTCCTACCAGCAGTGTATGAGGGTTCCCTTTTCTCCACATCCTCTCCAACGTTCGTTATTTCTTCTCTTTTTAATAATAGATATTCTGATGGATGTGATGTGATATCTCACTGTAATTTTGGTTTGCATTTCCCTAATAT